GTGGGGAGGGGGTTCCAACCGACGCGTCCCACGTGACCGAGGGGGCGGGACCTAGCGCCCCCCAACACCGTGGGGGTGGGGGTGGGGGTGTGTGGCGCCCCCCTCCCCCGGACCGGCTACCTGCACCGGCGACTCGTCACATGCCGGCCGGAAGGGGCCCCAGGGCCGCTGCCGGGGGAAGGGGGCAGGTGGGGCGCGCCCGCGACCGCTCTGCCGCCATGGAAAAGTCGGCGCCGCCGCTGCTTGTATGTGTGCCCTCCCAGCCACCGTCCCCGGCGGCCCCGGACAGAAGAGGCGGGGATGACACAGCCACTGCCCCGCCCTGCCAGGCGAGAGGGGTAGAAGAGTGGTTCTGATCACGTGGTTCCCCCAGGTGGTGCGGGAGGCGGAACCTCCGGCGGCGGAACCTCCGGCGGGCTGACGTCACAAGGGCCTGGACACGCCCCCGCGACGCGAGCGCCTCAGTTGGGCTTAGGGCGTGGCATGCGGGGCTAGGTGTACTGGAGTGATCGTGTTGGCAGGCTCGGCTTGGTTCGGGTGTGCGAGCAGTGATTGTACAAACGTTCACAATGTGCCATAATGTTGGAGGCAGTTAATTGATGCAGCTTATGCAAAACCTACGTCACTCTCAGTGCTTTTAGGGTTGCTGTCAGCACTTCTTTATGACCAGGGATCCTGGTGTTCTCTGATAAACAAACGTCAGATTTAAAAAAAGTAACCCAAAATCCAGATTTTCCATGATTAAAATGAAACACCTCTATCTATCTGTCTGTAGTGGTGTTTCATTTTAATCATGTTAAAATGTGAGCCTTGGGTTCCTTTTTTTTAATTTGATTTTTGGGGTTTTTTTAATCAGAGAAAACCTGCATCCCTGATTATGACTGCTTGCCTCAGAATACAGAAATGCTGCAACTTCGGTGACCCAGTTGTCACTTGGTCTTTGGCATGGTATAGTGAGCAGTATAAAGTAAAATGACTTATTTGACAGTGTAATTAGTCAGTGTATGATAGTTTTTTCAGCAAACATGATAATTTTGAGCTTGTAATATGGTAATTTTATATTTAAGACCTGGCAACGCTGTGCAGGGGCAAGGCAGTGGAGCATGAGGCAGTGGCTTATGCTGGCTGACAACCGTACAGGTGGGTGGATGGAGGGACTCACACACACCCCCTCACTGTAGGGGCCTTACATCTCTGTGTCACAGCCTGCCAGGAAGCCAGCCAAGCACCTCTGATTCAGTTAACCTCTAAGGTGCACCCACCTTCTGACCTGCCCGGTCAGCCCCCTTCCTGCATTCACATGCAACCCCTGGCCTGGTAAACCACATACCTCTTTCTTTTCCCTCCAGATCTTCTCCCCCCACAAGGTCAGCAGAACTGATGGTGGGGAATCTTCCCTCTCCAGAGCATCAGGAAATCTTAATACCAGGTTTGAAGTATTTTAATGGTAGTGTTGTGCCTGAGAAGCCAGAAATGATGGAAGAGGCAAGGATTTCTGAGGGGGACCTCTTGTATTAGATCAGCTTGGTCATTAGGATAAAGTTAGAGCTGCTTGTGAATGGAAGACGCTCATCCTTAGTGAAGGGAACTGAGGAAGAAGGTCTTGCATGCGAAAGCTTGTCTAACTTGAGCCCAATGACAAGATTTGGTCCAATAAAAGATCTCGCCCTCAGAAATCCTTGCCTCTCACAAGGTGCTTTAAATACCAAACAAACAGCGCTTGCTAAAGCGGAAAGCAGCAAGGGGCACTGTTGTGTTGGTCCCCTGCTTTTCAAACAGGAAGATACTGTTTTTGTCTCCCACTCTTTTTTTTGTGACATGATGCTTTCCACTCGATAAATGTTTCTATGCTGTCTCTTATGCACTGTATTTCATATACTTGCCTACATATCACATACTCCCCTGATCACTGCTGAGTACTCAGAAAACTGGCCCAGCAGTAGTACATCCAGCTTCTGCAGGGCACAACGTTTGGATCCAGTGTGTTTCTGAAATGCTTTAAGACTCTACGTATAATCCACTTTTTAAAGCTGGCTTGCTATCAATGGCTGTGTTCAGATGAGCACGGCTGTTTGTTTCCCCGGGGACAAGTAACAGTGGGTGGGGTACAGGAGACTGGTCAGCAACTGTGCTGGCCCCAAGCAGCCTTACCTGGAGTCCTGGGGGCCTTGGGGAGCTGCAGCTGCAGAGCTCCTGCAGTTGGGAGCCTGGCCAGCAGCTGGAATGTGGCTCTGGCCAGCCAGGCTCTGGTTTTGGGCAGCATGTGCTGCCACCACATGCTCTGCCCTGCTTGTTTTTTTGCCATGGTTTTTTTTGACCCTGGAAGTTCCTGGGGTGAAAAAACCCTGTGTTGCAAGGCAGCAGTGCACGCATGCCTGCATGTGCGGCATGTGGTGCTGCAAACAGGTCTGTGGCACCACATAGCACACATCCACGCTTGTCTGGAACGAGGTTAATAAATTTAGGAAAAAGATGCACGTCAAAAAATACAAGTGACAAGTTCTGTACAGGAAACCATTATGTCATGGCTATTACCTTTACAGATGGGGATGGACCCTATCCTGCTTTTTGTCCTGTGCCGCTAATTCTTGTTCTCATCTTTCCAACCTCTCTTATGGGCAGTCTTGACTCCCTTTTGGTGTTTCGTATACGGTTCCATCAGTTTTATTTAAACAGGGAGTCTTTGAGGCAATTCACAGCATTGTGCTTCTTCATCAAGTTATGTGATTTAATTTGGGATCAAGAGCACACCTCTCTGTAATGAAAGTAAATTCTCGGTCTATTTTATTTCATAGTGCTACCCCAATGTCACACCTGGTCTAAAAATCATATTAAACTTTCACTTCATTTGCATGTGGAAAATCTGTTTATTACCAAAGGAAGAAAACGTGGGGGTGGATTTTTTATATATCCTTTTATTGTAAAAGATGTTAAAGGGTTTTTTTAACTCCTTTATCCAGCTCTAAAGTGGATCCGTATAATCATAGTATCAAGTGCACTCCATGCACTATAACACTGCAATACAAAACAGAGCTGCATGCAAGTGCATTAGAACAGATAAACTTTAGCGTTCTAAGTGTTAAAGAAATTGCCTAGAAGTATACTTGATACTAAAACTGACTTGGTTTGTTCTTGGGCAGGTCTTCTTTTGCTATTCAAAATGGGAAATTGTCAAGAAAAATAAGTACAAAAGCAGATGTTACATCCATGGGCAGTTGTAGGATTTTGAAAAGGGGGTTGCAGATAGTGTGGCATATACCACAACACACATTTTTCTCCGGTTAGTAAAGTTTCTAATTTCTTTTTAATAGGCAAGGGACCTTGGACTGCATTGTTCAGTTTAAGATTAAAACAAAAATAAATACAACTTTACTGGAAAGTACATTCATTTGCTCTCTCATATATTATGTATAAGACGACAACACACTAGGCAAAAATAATCAAAAGATGTTTCATTAGCCTTGCCATCGATTAGAATGAAAGGCACATATCTTTCTGATTCATAAAACAAAATCTAGCCTTCTTGAGCATCTTAACAGCACATCCAGTGCTTTCCTGAAAGTTATTTCCACACTTGAGTTAATGTTTCTAGTTTATGTAAAAAGCAGTCTGCAGGGCTGTGAAATAGTAGTTACATTACAAGGAGCAGCTAAAAGGCACCAGAATTGTGGAACAAAGGATAGCTTTATTAGTGGAACCATTAAAAACCATTAAAATGGAGGGAGGGACTTTAACACTTGTGGCATAGAGACTTTAAAAAGAATCAGATGTATTAGAAATTAAAATGAGCCAGGAACTAAAGCAACTCCCTCACTGCTGCCTGAAGAGAAATGTTGATGTCACTGCCAGGCAGTTGTTTTTAAACTTTGGGGTTGAGCAGGAATCAAATGGGGGAGGGTGCAACTGCATTACTGCACCCCCTCTGGACCCACCCCTGGTTATAGCCTCATCCACACAAATTTATACTTTTAAAATAAAAAAAAATCTATAATTTACTAGAGCAAAGGTTTACAATTCCCATTTATTATCAATCACCTAGGAAGTATATTGAAAATGTACACCATGTATACTGTTAATCACTTTAGTGGTTAAAATTTACAGCATGAAAGAATGATTGATTAAGTACCTATAATATACTTGGCTTACACCAGCTCTAATCAATGCCCATTTTGGTAACATAATCCCCTCTGTCCAAAAATGCTGCAAAAATTACAACCATCCTTTGACCAAACTATACAGGAGCTTTCAGGAAACAAACATGAAATATATTTGTTTCCTACCTACATAGGAATCCTTCCTACATATTTTTTTCAAGGGACTTAAGGTACTACTCCTTTCAGTCACATATGCTTGCTGCTGCTTCTTTCCAAACTTGTCTGAGCTTGTTCACAAGAAGTTCAGCCTTGCCCATTTCATCATGCATTGTTCATTTATTTCGAAGCCAGAAAAATGCTTTGTAACATGAGGTATTCAGAGCATCTCTAAATAAACTCTTAGCAAGTTTAAACAGTTGTGTTAGCTGCCCCATTGAGAATCATATTTTTAAGGGTGAATGAGAGGCAAACTAATCCATTTTTACAATACAATTTTGTATTTCATTCCCATCCCCAAAGTAATTCACCTGTGCAGTCTCACTGGATTTCACAATGAAGATATACCTATAGTTTTGGAGGACTGGGACCTATAGTTTCTGGTCTACTGTCTTTGACTTATTTTGCTCCCTATACACTGCCCCAAGAGACACAGATAAGCAGCTGCTCACATGTTCCTGGCTGAATAGACCCCTTGTGTGGTCAGTTCCCAGCAGGCAGAGACAAATATTGATGACCTTCTGTGTCACACTTCCCATCCCACACACCTGGAGAGACAATTCTGATATAAGGGCATAGGTATCCTTGCTGCTATCTGGTGTGTTGCTCCTTGGAGGACTCTTACCAGATGGTGGAGTTTTAGCGCACCCCCCAAGAGAATCTTAAATTCAGTAAGTTCTGTGGCTGTGTTAAATTGAACAGGGAGTCTAAAAGCTCTCTGATGGCCCTCTCTCTGTGGCACTTAGCATGACAGTGAACAGAGTAAAAAAAATGTAGAGCCAAGATTATGATAGTAGTATGCCATGCCCACATTATCCCAGGTGTTACTCTTTCCTGAGCATCTTCACCAACATGAGCAGTACAAACATAAATTATCTCGCAGCAGCTGTGATGTCTCCACTCCTTACTAATAGTAAAACTCATGACTGCAAATTTGCCAAAGCTACCTATCAATATGAACATTTTGCTTTCATTTATTTGAAACATTGTCATTCACTGGAGAATTAAAGGAACACGGCCAAGGTTGATGGGCTCCAAAATCCACAAGCAGTGAGTGGAAAAGAGAGCAACAGGTTAAATATGCAATGGCATTTGATTCAACACTGCACTTCAGACTCTTGTAACTTTCAGTTTAGAATGAGGGACAGTAATATGCCTCTTAATTTTAATAGGGAAAGAAAAAGGAAACGATGGTGTCAATTTGGGCCTTTAATTGCTCTTCCTCCCCTCTCATTTTTGTCGAAAGAATTTTTAGGGACTTGTTGACAGGGAGGTAATTTTCTTCCATTGACAGCAGTGGTGAAAGCTGTAGCATAGACAGAGCAGAGCCCAGCTGTTTTTCAAAGTGATGCAAACAATGTCAGCTACCTCTTCCAGTAGGGTTCCCATTATTAGCATCAGGATGGAGCTGCACCCACAGAAGAATGACAGGTCTAAATTTTCCCAGTAAGCACACATTCTTAAAGTTCTTATTCTGCATCTTATTTCCTATTTAAAAGGTTCAAATGATCATGCATGGGGGATCAAGTGTCAACCTCCATATTTTCTTATGCTTTACATCTGCAATATTGACATGTTTGAACACCAAACAGTGCCCAGGTACATGTTCCAGAATGTCTACACTAATAGTTATACTTACCTCACACAACGTTTCATTTTTCACAGAAGTTATTTTCCTTTTTAAAATAAATCCAACTTTGATCTACGGTACCACTGGCAGAGCCCTTTAAACATAGGTACAATATGAACTGAAAACATCTCTCCTGCTCATAAATCCTGCATTTGGAAAGATACACTTGATATTCACCCATCTGGCTGCCTGTACTGGCTACTCTCAAGAAGGTGCAAGTTTCACTTTAGCATAGGTGTCAAATGAAGGCAGAATGAAATGGCCACCCAGCATAATTTTCCAAGTGATTTATTCTGCAAGAAGCTCCTGAGACTGTAAGTTTAGATTGGTGACAAGCGCCTTCTTACATCGATGATTGCTTGCAGACACACATTGAACTATAGGGCGAGGCATTTATCATTACAAAAAAGGCTACTTATTACCAACAAACTAGTTTTCAGGAGTGCATGGAACAGCAGGTTGTGATTTTTAAAACAGAGATTGCAAAGAACTTGAAAGTACTGAGAGGCCTTTATACAACAAGAAAAATGTTTGATTTGCCTTTAAAAAAGGTTCAGTGGTGGTAGCACATTAAAGGCTTGACCTCTTTGTTGATGTCACTATCTGGCAGTCCTTTGTGAACTAGTGAATTTGGTCTTCCATACAAGTACACAGGGAAAGAGAAGGCTTCTATAATAACAAGGTAGGACTCCTAGCTTTATGGAAAGGCAGGAGAAATTATTATGGTTCATGGGACAGAATTGTAGCACATTACCTAACCCTTAAATTCTAATTTTTTTCTCCATTACAAGAAGTGGACCAGGGGAAAAGTCACAAAACAAACATTGAGCTAGAAATAAGGTATTTATTTCAAAACATTACAGGTTAATAAATATGTTAGGTATCAGAAAACTTAATAAATAGCTTCTTATAATTTACATAAGGTAAATACAACATGCCTATAACTATTTTTAAAAAGCAAAGGGAGTAAGCTGGACTTACAAGCCATTAACAAATCTATATACACAAAATTTGGAAGCTAATAAAATAGTCCATTTTCATATCACCTGTAGTAACTATATTGCAATAACATTCAAGCAATCAAACCTATGACACTGTATTTATTTCCATCTACTCTTCCACATCCAACTGAAATTTTACAAAACAGAAAACACATAAATGGGAATCCCCTAATTTAAAAAGCAGGTAATTAAACAGTACCCTTTATTTTTAATACATTTTCTTCCCACAGTGAAAACCACCTAACTCCCCCGCCCCCCACGCACACTATTTTGCAACTCTTAAATATTCTCCCCCAACTTTGAAAAGTGTTCTGAAATTTCCTTTCCTAATTTGTCTTTGTAATCTTTCCATTTCAAAACTGGTGTATGAAATACTTTGGCACTTGTCTTTGTGTAGCTCCTGACATCATTGGTGCCAAACGATGTATACACTGATGTATTCTGCAGCATTTTGCCACACGTTCACTGGCCCCAAGGGGTTAATTATAATGACTAATCTTGAGGACAGGAAAGTAGGTATAATTAAATAAGCATTTGTTTTAAAAGTGAACTTCAGCAGTTCAACTGATTACACTTAAGGATAGTATAGGATGAACTCTAAAACCTATAATGTCCTATTGTTTAGGTAAGAAGGTGGAAGAAGCATATTGTGCAAACTTAACACCACCTTTCAGTGCACTACTTGTAGGTTCTTATATTTGTTTTCTTGAAGTCTTTCTTGTAATACAAAAACTTCTTTATCTTAAAATAAAGAGGAAAAGTAAAGCTTACAGCAGGGGTGGGCAAAATGCGGCCCGGGAGGCTGGATGCAGCCCACCAGGCCATTCTATCTGGCTCGCGGGGCCCCTAAAAAATTTAGAAAATTAATATTTATCTGCTCCTGGCTGCCTATCATATGGCCCTCGATGGCTTGCCAAAACTCTCCTCAAAATAACTGCCCACCACTGGCTTACAGTGTCCGTTATTTCAACAAACAAAATCCAGTGTTTTCACTTTCAGTGCTAGTTACTTCAGAAAAAGACATAGATGTTTGTTTTAAACCAAGATTATTATTAGGAAGCATTACTTATCAAACTGTGTGATATGACAGATTCTTATTCGTATTAGTTTCAGGTCGTTAATAAATAGGCTTTATTTACACAGATAGTATCCTGGAAAGTTAGTTCAACAGATGTCTGCTCTGGACATTTTGCTTTTTACACACAAGTATTTAAGATGTAACAAATATGTTTTGGTTGTATCAAAAAAGGTTTCTATACTCCTATTAGATGCTTGAGGGCTTAACACACATGAAAGATAATGGGCCTACATGTGTAACTCCTCCATACATTGAAAGGATGATAGATCAAACTGGGTAAGAGCACTGTATATGTAACTGTATTTGATAAATACAATAGAAGCCAAAGGCTCACCATGAAACTTCCTTCAGTGGGATTAGATTTATTTTAATGCATTCCCATATAGACAGTCCACTTTACAATCTGTGTCTATATATAGCCTCTGTCATTTCTGCATTGGAATCTGAATCAATTTAAGAAACCTGGCTCTTGCCTGGTAATGTAAATACCTTATAGAGCAACCTGAAGAGGGGGGACCTTTGGAAGAAAGACCAAGACTCAGGAGACAACTATGTACATTTGTTCCCTGAGATGATGGAACTGAAATGTATTATTCCAAGGTGCTAACTTGTCTTGAGATGGTGGGGAAAGAAGAGAGGAGGCTTAACAGTTCAGTTTGACATTGCCATCTTTCAACCAGATAAGCAATATGAAAGATCCAGAAAATGTAAGAGGTTTCCAATAAGGGGAAGGAGGGACCAAATTACATCGACAGTGACGATAACATAGAAAATATCCATATTTTTCTAACAGTAGAATTGCACCAGATTCAGGCAAAGACGAAATAAGAACAAACATAGCTATTTGCTGAACAAAGCGTAGCAAAAATAAAGATTTTCATTATTTTTCATGATGTAAAAGGTGGCAGGTATAAACAGTGTGCAAGGCCACTAGAAACTTTATGTCACGTATGCTGGCTTTTGGCATCTCCATTTTACAAAAGTGGATAGTTGGGCATATTGAGAAGCTCATCGTATCAGTGATGAGCTGGAAAGAAGAAAGAAAGTTCCTGCAGAAACGTATCAGCCCAGAGAATATTTGGAGAACCAAAGAATATCTCTGCTATTTCATCTCCCCCTGCTGAAAGCTTGGTTTTGTGATACATGAAAATGTTAGATTAGACAAGGTAGTCATGATTTTCTTTTTTAGACTATCACTTTAATATGTGCATAAGCACCTAGCATAGGCACTTTCTTCTTATGTAAAAATAAATAATTAGCGAATAGAAATAAATAAATACATACATATGTATATAGCCTAATAAAATCTACAATGAGATGACGGTCATTTTCACTTTGACCTAAGGAATTACGTGAATTGAAGTCCACAGAACTTAAAGCCTGATACCAAATCTTTTGAAAAGATGTTTTGACTGCTTCCAAGAATTTTCATGATTTGAATAAGTGAATTACCACACATCTATTTTGTTAGGATCCCGGTTTCAAGCAGTCAAAATGGAACTACTTCCACAAAGTATGATCGCTCTTCAGTCACAAAGATATCTTGTCACAACTGATACCATGTAGCTGAGATCTCTTCTTACATTTTTATTCAAATTTGACAGACTTAATATTTCCTCGTACAGGATTATAATCCTCCCTGGAAAGCAAGAATCCCCCCTTATAAACGGGTTCTAAATGCACAAAGATGGTCTTCTGTTTGTTGATGTTCTGTTTTCTGTGTTGGCCAAATATTATAAGATATATTTCTATTATTTCTCATGTTCAAATCAACATAACTGGAATTTCTGGTTATAAAATTGTCTGACCTTTCCATTATACACCAAAAGAGTCACTTGGATTCAACACTGGCATTATCAACCCAGACATGTAAAAAATCATGCACCAGGCTACCCAAAGTCGTGACACTGGCTTAAAAATAATTCTTTTGGAATTCAGTTTTCAGATTTTTGTGCCTTTGTGGTTTATTGAGGTCACATGTTCATGCTTCATAAGGACTAGCAACTTCTTTATATTTCTAAATCAAAGTGGAGATTCTCAAGATGTCACATAATAAGAGGATCTTGTTTTTTGAAGAAAACAATTATCATAACTTTTAATTTAAAAAAAACGGTCACAAGAGTTGACAACAGTTATTCCCCTAATAACCAAGATTTGTATTATCTATAGCTTGCCCATACAGTTCCATACAGAATACTATTCTTGGTTTCTTGTTAAAAAGTTACTGCTGGAATCTTCTCGAATACTGATGAGCGAACACCTGTTTTGCCTTGCAAGAGACTCCGTATGGACAGATGTTCAGTTCTGTTATACGCTTCCAAATCTAGCCTTACTGCCTATCTTAAGATAAAAGAACTCCCTCCTTCATTTTCAAGCCTTTTGTATGCCTTTGTGACACCATTACATAGATAATGACAAATTAAAATGCTACGGAAACTGAGGGCAAAAACTGAGACACCCTTCTAAATACTGCTATTGAAATTGAAAAATTCCTGTTTTTCTTCAAGGGAGTATCCTGTAACCCAGGTGATCTAAACTAATCTGTTCAGAATCATTCCGAGCATCACTTGAGCAACTTGTACCAGCCCTTTAGATGCTATTGCTGGGCTAGCACCTACATTTCTGAAATACTGGATATGAATGTTTGCATACAGATTTACTGGAACCTTGTCTTGCTGTTTTCACACCCTGCAACCCTTCTCCCTGTCCCTGCAAAATAACCACACAATCTTCTTTGCTCATGAGTGCGCCAGTTCACAGGCTGATCTGTTAATAGGCAAACTAGCTATATATAGCTCCATTTATTCAGTACTGTTCGGAAGAAATCTTGTCAATTGAGCTACTTTATGATAGTTTCTAAAGTTCAGTTAAGTAACTGGAATTTGCACTGTTGAACTACTGTAAAAAGACCTCTCCTTATTAAACGTACATAAATGCAGAAGCTACCAAAGCACCTTGGAATAACTTCAGATTTGCAAACCAGTGTAGAAACACGCTGCTCTTGTTGGCTCCTGACATGTTTATAATTTGTACACAGCTACATATTACAGACAATGAAACTGAATTGTTCTAACTTGTATAGGTGTCAGATACACATACATTTAAATTAAATAATAACATTAGATTACAAAGGCACTGAAGTTGTTCTGAGCTGTTTACATATAATCCACCATGTATGCAGAAAGTCTGGACACCACTTTCACATTCTTCATACTCTTCCTGTCCTTTAATTATTACCAGCTCTTGGATAAATGCTGTACGTCTTAGTGCACTTAAAAAAAGTTATGAATAAAAATGCATACCTGTAATCTGGATGCTAGCATCATCTAGTAAATCATTAGTGGAGAATTTTAAGGGTTAAATGCACTGATCTGTATTGAGGATTTAATTTAGAATTCCCCAGTGTCTTCAACCCAATGTCAGTCCAAATTGCAGAGGCAAGTTACAGTAAGAAGAACAAACCTACAGCCCACAGTTCAATCAGCATTTGTTTAAAATTCACAGCCTGGACAGTGAACACACTGCTATACTAAGGAGATTGACAGAATTGTCAATCGCTTCATTTTTTTTTTAAGGGGAAATATCACTCCTGAAAGGTGCCAGATTGAGTGCATTAGAAACTGATGTTTTCTATCTACAGAACCAGCACATCACAGGCAATCATAATGTAAGCTCTCCCACTGAGGCCTGCCAGAATGTCCTCAAATCTTTTCTAGATGGACCACCTTTTAAGATGAGAAAACACAACAGTCTCTATGCCGATTCAATCCTTAGCCTTTCTACTGAGATGGTTAGCAATGATACTAATTAATGCCACTTTTTACAGTGATTTTGGGGTATGCAAACAGTCCAGGAGAAACTGGATGGAGGCCACCCACTCATTTCACATAGGCCAAAGTATTAAATGGTAACATATGCCAACATGTACCGTATTTGAACCAGTGACCTAGAAATGAAAGGCTTTCTATCATTCCCTGAGCCATCCAGTCCTCTCAAATCAGATTTTAATCTGTCTTCATGTTAGGTTTATTCAAATCCCCAATACTGAAGTTGAACTCCTTGAAGACTTGTATAAGAACAATTCCAATAGATACTGTAGTGAATCCACAGGCCATCCCCAAGAAATCTACTACTCCCACATTACTCCACTCCCTGAAAAGGATGGCTGAGGCCAGCAGGACTAAAGTGGTGAACACGACGTAGTAGATGGCACCAAACACAGAGGAGTCAAAACATTCCAGTGCCTTATTGATGTATCTGAACTGAATGATGATGCTACATCCTAGTACTGCCAAGAGAACCAAACAGAGATACAAGGCTCTTTGACTTGATGGATTATTGTGAAAGATATCTTGAGCAGCCAACCCAATGCCTTTCGTGCTGGGCACAGTAAAACTGCCCAATAGGGAACAAATACTGATGTAAACCATAATATTAGTGGGTCCATGAGCTGGTGCTATCCAGAAGATAAGCAGTAGGAGCATGACAAGTACTATGCAGAGGTAGCCCACGAACACTGAAAAACAAAGAAGAAGAGAAGGTAGTAGCAAGGTAAAATTGTTCCACAGGGTAATTTCCTATTAAAAGGGTTAATTTTGAACATGGTCATAGAATGTATTTTTATTCGTAAAGCTGAAGATATATCAAATACAAAACAAAACCCTCTGACATTTGTTAAATCTGTATACTGATGCCATTTTCCCCCTCTTTGAATAGAACAAATAATTGTGTATTAAAACTCACTGTTTCACATTTTAACTTGAATTAAGGTGCACAGCTTTCCCTGCACCCCCAATTAAATCTCCAATATAGAAATGGTGGCAATAAAACCACATCCATAATGATGGGCTGAATGAACTTCAGAGCATAAATAGGTCCCATTAAAGTCAATGTGATAAACAGATATAGTTACTGAACTAGGTCTCATACAGTTGCAAAATAGGTGTGTACCTCTTCATTATGTAAATTAGACTGGTGAAAAATATTTCACATTTCAATATTTTTAAAAGGGGCATTCTTTAACAAGTTGATTTTAGTTGGACTTAAATTTTAAAATCACTACAGTTATTTTCTTTACTCAGTAACAACTTACAAAGTGCAACACTTGAGTTTGAGTTTCTTTTACTCAAAGTGAAACTACAAATGTAACAGAGTTACCAATTTAGATTTTATGAAAGAACAGTGAAAGCAGCCTTAGCATCCGTGAAGCCTGGTCAATGTGCTGGCTGGCTGGCTAGCAGAGAAGGAAGGATTTACAACAGTGGTTACCAACCAGTGGATCTTGATCCACCGGTAGATCCTGGAGCCGCTTGCGATAGATCTCGGAGACTCTTGAAGTCTATCTGAGGCTGGAGTTGGGGGCTGAGTGCCTGTGTGTATGCATGTGCATGCCCCGCGGGGCCCAGCAGGTCAGCCCATGGGGGAGGGAAGGGGCAGAGGCTACATCGAGGCCCCCGTGGTAAGTGACTGTGCTGCAGGGGCAGGAGCAAGTTGAGTGGGGCCCTGACCAGATGGGACTTACCTGCTGGGGAGGCATGCCCCAAAATAAATTTTTTCTCCCTCTGCCTCGATCTGCCCCCCTTCCCTCCCCACAGACTTACCCGGGGGTGGGGATTGGCGGGTGGCAGCAGAGCACAATAGATCTTGGGACGCTTTTGAATTCCACATGTAATCTCCTACTTACAAAGGTTGGAGACTACTGGTTTACAAGCAATTCTAGTGAATCTCCAAGAAGGAAAATAATTTTGTGGGTTAATCTAGCAGCACATTTTACATCTTTAATGGAAAAAATCTAGTTGCAGTATAATTGCTATTTTCTATAAGTTTATCATGAAAACATTCTGTTGCACTTTAAAAACCATTGTATAACTAGCTAATAAGTAAGATTTTACCTGCAAGCATTTTTCTGTTAAGAACAAAATAAGCCCCTGAAAGTGCACTTTTGACTCTTCCAATAATAAAACCTTATAACCCTTTTCAAACCTGTAGAAAATAGGTTACTAGCTCAAATTACTGGCATTTTTTGTTTCTTTACTTATAAAACCATAAAAACCTATTTACATTTTTTAAATTAACATGCAAAACTGATGTGACTTTTGATTGTGGAGAACACACAAAATACTGAATAGAGAAGGAGTTTAAAGCACTAATAAAATACATTTCAGAATACTGCTACCTTGAAAACTGAGCCTTTAATTCTTGTTTAAGATTAGATCTGTCCTCTACAATGAATACTTAGCATTTCTCTCCTGGCAGAATGCCACTGCAATGTCAGTTTGTATGGATAGCAGATGATCCCACCTGTATGGGAGAATCCTTATGTGGCAGTGGATCAAACATCGCTCATATCTCACCACTCTCTTTACTTTCAGTCCCATCCTTTCAACCCCTTGACACAGGGGGACATAATCCCCAGTGGCCCCCAACTTGCAAAATGTACCTCAGAAGTCAGTGGTTATTGAGGTAAAGCAGCCAAAAACAAGCTGACTCCAGGCCAGCACTAGAATCAGGAAGCTACAAACTCAGATTAGCCCAGGATCATAACCTCTAGTTTTGATTTTCTTTGCTTTGTTTGTTGTCTGGTTTCTAATTGATGACAGATTGTTGCCCTTTAATCCACAACAATTTCATTTCCTTAATTAATAGACTCATGATAGATGCTTTCAAGGATCACAATATTTAAGATTATCCCATGTCTCAGAAGGATAATTAAGCTTTTAACTCAGTTGCTTTGGAGAATTTTACTTAAAAGGTTTATTGAAAGACCAGCTAATATCTAGTTTCTCCTTTCTCTGATACTGTGGTGGCACGCTCCCGGAATTCTAGTTGGCTGCACAGAGGCCATACAGGTTTGTCCCTATTGTATTGTGTTTTCCTAGGAATATGTAAGTCTTAGCATCACTAAAGTTGGTACCCCACAGAGGCATGCAAGTTCCTAGATTATCTCACTTGAGCATGCTATCAAGATGTTGTAAGAGATGGAAGTACCTGGATTTGTAAGTTTTTCCTCAAGCTCAGCCTGAGTTGTTACACTCTCAGATTTTGGAGAATGGATTATGAGAACAACAGAACCAGCACAGCTCAGCAGACATCCCAGCTTGCCAAGAATGTTGAGCTTTTCTTTCAGTAAGTAAGAAGCTAAAATGGAACTTTCACAAAGAAGAAGAAAATTAAAATGTGAAATTAAAGTAGTTGGGGTGCTAGAGATTTTTTGGGCCGATACCGATAACTGATTTTTAAGGAGGCATATTGGCTGATACCGATCCGATTTCCGATTGAGCTGTGTGCAGCTGGTAAGTCCGTTGTGGTAAAAGGGGAGGGAAGGGGTGTTGGGGCGGCAGATCAATGCCCCCTGCAGTGAGCGAGGGAGAGGGCATGGGCAGGCGCTCCCCAGCTGGGGCAGGGCACGGACATGAGTGGGGCAGCTCATATACCAGCTGCCCGGCATGCAGGACAGAGCCATGGCTCCTTGGGAGGACATGAGGAGGTCGGGGGGAGGGTGCCCCCAGATCTGCACAGGGCAGACAGGCTGCAGCTGTGGGCTAGAGCTGGGGCTGTGCTGGGCTCTTCTCGGTGGGGGCTGGGCTCAGGGCGGGGCCTACAGAGAGGGCTGCAGCCCCTCCAAATTTTGCCACACCCCCAGTGCTGCTGCAAGCCTGGTGCAGCCCTGGCTCTTCCTGGCATGTGGGTGGAAGTGGGGCGTTGAGCCAGGGTTATGCCAGGTGACTGGAGGTGCTGGGAGCAGAGCTATGGCAAAATCTGGGGTGCCTGCAGTCCCCTCTGTAGCCCCCGCCCTGAGCCCAGGCCCCGCCAAGAACAGCCTGGCAGAGCCCCAGCTCTAACCCGCAACTGCAGCCTGCCCACCCTGCCCTATGCATATCTGGGGGCACACACCCTCCCCTCTGTGCCTTTCTGGGATGCAAGCAGCAGCAGGAGTCATCCTCCCTGGTGGCTCCATCCCATGCCCTGTCCCCTACTCCCTCCCTCACCATGGGGGGGCATTGATTTGCCCTCCCATGTCCCTTCCCACCCCCCTCCACTTCCACTACAACAGATTTACCAGCTGCATGCAGCTCTGCTCCTTGCTGCCCGAGTGCTGTACTGTGGCTGCGCACATGCACAAGCATTTATCAGCCAAATTATCAGCCACATCAGGTCAATTTCCAATACACGTAATTTGCTTTATAACAGTACCAATCCGATATCGGACCGATGTATCAGTGCACCTCTACAAAGCAGTCATACATTTAAAACTCCCAGACTCAGCAACGGTACTCTTCACCTTCCAAGTTTCTTTTTAAGACTAATATTCAAGTCTTCATGTAGCCCCAATAATGTGTTTCTGCCTTGACCCAAGCTGGAGAAGCAAGACAAAAAATTAGGGGTGCACTGATACAGATTCTTTGGGCCGATACTGACAGCTGATTTTTAAGGAGGTATATCAGCAGATACCAAGCTGATTTCCAATAAATATGCAACCCAGCAGATCGAAGAGCAGTGTCTGGCTGGTAAGTCTGCTGTAGTGGAAGGGGAGGGGGAAGGGGAGGGGTGTGGGGGGCAGATTGAGGCCTCTGCAATGAGGTAAGGAGTGGGGCAGGGCATGGAATGGAGCTGCAGCTTGTCCGGGGGGCGCAGGGATGGGGGTGGCTCCTGCTGCTTCACGCACCCCAGGACATGAGAGACGTATGCCTCCCAGATCTACATGTGGGGCAGGGTGGGGTAGGCTGCCTCTGCGGGCTGGGGCCAGGGGCTGCACCGGACCCTTCCTGGCGGTGTTAGGCTAGACTGCGCTCAAGGCAGATGGCAGTGGCAGTGGGAGGGGGGTTGGGCTGCACCCCCCGATATCTCCCTCCCAGTGCCACCACCACACCCACCCTTAGCACAGCCCGGCCCAGCCTCCCAGGGTGTGTGCAGCTGCAGGAGCTGCCCCTCCCTCCCTGCACCCCCCAGACGAGCTGTGGCTCCATCCCGTGCCCCACCCCCACTCCCTCCCTCACTGCAGGTGCCTCAATCTGTGCCCCCATGCCCCTTCCCTTCCACCACAACAGACTTACTAGCTCAACGCAGCTCTCCAAGCTGCTGGGCTGCACTCCTAGTGCCGTGCATGCTGTGGCTGCATGCATGCATGGGGCATCTATTAGCCACATTATCAGCCACATCAGGCAAAAAAGCTGATTTCCAATATAGTCAATGTTCTTTATATCGATACCGATTTAATATCGGACCAATGTATTGGTGCACCTCCACAAAAAATTAGTTCAATCTACACCTCATTTAAACCTGATGTCTCAGCTAGAGCAAAAGGACAACTATGCAGCAGACACTCATGTCCACCCATCTTGGTTACTAATACCACAAGCCAGATTCAAACAAGCAAAGAGCTTGTATTCTTTCTTACAACAACACAGCATTTTTTGAGCTTCTGCACACATATAAACCTGATGTTAACACTAAATGAAAGCAGGGCAGGCATTAACAGGAAGCCTTCTCAGAGATTAGAAAGATGGGCTAAATCCCATAGGATGAAATTCCATTTGGATAAATATACTAGGATTTTAGGTAGTGGGAGAGAGGAACAACATGGAGCAAAAAAAGGGGGAAAAAACCCATACAGTAACAAGAAAAGGAGTCTATGACTGCTAAAAGATAAAACATAAGGGTGAAGAATGCTAATAAGAAGGAACATTTTGTTCTTCTCGGGAGACATTTTGTTTGATCTGTTGTTTTCAGCATATACATAATACATTATTATACCTCATTGAAAAGCTAGACATAACATTCAAACAAAAATAAGTAAATCAAATTCTTACCCAAATGGAACACCAAGAGCTCCTAGCGGAGTCACTAATACAGTAGGAACTGCAGTGTAGGCCAAGAAATTCCCTATTTGACCAAGAGCCACTGTTAAGAGAATCACAAAACAGACCTTTAATTTTTTCAGTGAAACGGAGTAAAGTAAAGCTGCCTGATGATAGCTCATAAAAACTAAGCTGACTGAAAGAAAGATCACACTAAACTGCTATAATCTGACAACAACTTGGCTAATACATTCCCTTACTTCAATCATAAAGGATTTATTTTGAAATAATATTTTTAAAAGTTTTTGTATAAAAACCAAAAAAAAAAGTTTTTGTATCAAGAGGGTATCATCAATAACTCTGTTCCTTAATTTTTTTTTTCACAATTCAGTTAGGGTAAGACTGAAAAATTAGAATTGTATGAGTTATTCAAATTTCTGGGTGTATGGAGCTCTGAAATAAGGTGTCCAATGATCTAGAATTTAGAGTCTTATATTTGAACACAAACACATCTGCCATGACTCTCATAGCTCTAGTCTTCAAAAGGAATAAAAGGAAACCACTTAGCAGGAAAAAATAGTAATCAGATAAAAAAGCACATTGACAAAGACCCTTGTGTAATTAATTAGACATGATGAACCACATCACAACTGGTACACTAGAAGGCAATATTCAAGGTCTATCTTCAGGTAATATAACACAGAAGACAGCTATGACAGTTTATACCACCTGCCCGTCAGTCTCCTACCAAAAAAAAGAATTAAAATGTTATACAACAAGACAAGATAACTTAGGATCATAGGAAAGAAGGGCTGGGAGCGACCATGCACTCGTGGTGCTCTGGTGTGGTGCCAGAGGACTGGAAGAGGGCTAATGTGGTTCCCGTCTTCAAAAAGGGGAAGAAGGAGGACCCGGGAAACTATAGGCCAGTTAGTCTTACCTCGATCCTGGGCAAGCTTTTTGAGAGAATTATTCTGGCACATGTCCACGAGGGGCCAGCAGGGGAGGTCATGCTTAGGGGCAACCAACACGGGCTGATAAGTGGCAGGTCCTGTCAGACCAACCTGGTGGCCTTCTATGATCAGATCACCAAATCATTAGATGCAGGGGTAGCAGTGGACATAGTCTTCCTGGACTTTCGGAAGCCCTTCGACACTGTCTCTCACCCCGTTCTCATTAAGAAACTGGGAGACTGTGGTGTCGACACCCACAGTCAATTGGGTCACCAACTGGCTGGAGGGCCGCACCCAGAGAGTGGTGGTGGATGGGTCATTTTTGGCCTGGAGGGATGTGGGCAGTGGGGTTCCTTAGGGCTCAGTCCTCGGGCCTGCGCTGTTCAACACCTTCATCAGTGACTTGGACGAGGGTGTTAAAAGCACCCTATTCAAATTTGCTGATGATACTAAGATGTGGGGGGATGTGGGCATGCTAGAAGGGAGGAATAGGCTGCAATCTGACTTAGACAGGCTACGGGGTGGGCAGATGAGAATAGGATGGGATTCAACACCAACAAGTGCAAAGAGATGCACCTGGGGAGGAAGAACGAGCACCATACCTACAGGCTGGGGAACTCCCTTCTCGTCAGTGCAGAGGTGGAAAAGGATCTTGGAGTCGTCATT